CCTGGCCAAAGGTCTAATCATGGTCAATCTTTTCTATGTATAGAACTTTTCTGCAAAAACAGCTTGAGGCAAACATTTATATCCTACAATAAATTTACTCTTGAAAGAGATTAAATGTGTCCCTATTACCTTCTTTAATGTGCATTGAATATGAGAAATGAATGTGCATTCCTTTCAACAATCTATAGGATGTTTTGCATTTCTTGTTTCTTTGCATAAATCACAATAATTATCTTCAGAATCATCTTCATCAAATAGAGTGACTAGTATAAGATTATGTCTATGATATTCATGTGTAATAAATGATGGAATCTCAAAACATCCGAAATGAAAATTTAAATCACATTGCACGCAACGACAAAAACTGTACTCATTGTGTTTAGCCTCAATATTCATATGACAAATGTTACATTGGTCAGTAACACCAGGGTAATTGTTTATTTGAAAATAAGTAGGATTGTGTTTATGGATCTCATGGTCTAGGGTGGGTTGGAGTCTAGAACAAAAAGCATGAAGGCTGAATTCGCACTTTTTGCAACAATAGGCAAGTGAAAAGACCACAAAGATTTCATATTTACAGGCATAGCAAAGTGACTTGGAGTTGTTGACCTTTTTCGTTGGCTGTATATAAAGAGGGTGTGACAAATGAAAAGGATGCCCTAAGATTTTGGTGGGTATCTTAATCAAGCAGGATTCATGGATGTAGAACTTTTTCAAACATTTAAAACAGCCGTAAGTCATTCCTGACAGATGCTTCTCACACCAACCACAATTGTAGTGTTTCTTTCCTGCTTTTCTATAGTTGAAGATACTCGTCAAGCGATCTTCATGGACGAAATGTGGAAGTATTCTCAACTCCTCATCAGATCTTTTGCCCTCTAATTTCTCCAGTGTCGTATCATTGGTGGAAGCAGCGCATGAGACATCAACTTTGAATTTACAATCAGTGCAACGATATCTGTAGCCTCGAGAAAGAGTGAAACATTTGTCGCAAATGAAATCATTATCGTAGTCGAAAAGAGTAAGGAGGTGTTGGGAATGGAGATGGGGTGAAATCCGAGGAGGCAGTCGCTTGTTTGCACAATAATAATGCAACCAGAACTGAGGGCAACTTTCTCACCTATAAGCGAACCCATGACCAATTAGCCGATGGCATTGATCACAACTTGCCTCTTCATTGTGGTAATAATCATACACCAAGTAGTGTTCATGAAGGAAAGGTTTGATGTCCATCCCAATTCTCGAACAGACAAGTATGGGGCAGATGGAGATCAGAGAGAATGAGAGAAAGAGAGAAAGAGAGAGTGGTGAAAGAGATGGAGCCCTGCAAGAGAAGTGTGTAATGTCCGAAAAAAGAAGAAGCTAAAACTGAGTCTAATTGCTCGAGGAAGAGGAAAAGAATCTGATTGAATAACAAGGAATACTTAACTTTAACACATTACAAAAGACTAAGTAGCACCATTCTACAAACGATATGAACTAATATTTATTTCACGAAAATGGAGAAAACAAATTTAATTAATGTAAAACGATAATTACCAATGGTAGAGAATATTTGAGGTTACTTTATCACTTTATTCTATTCTTCCTTGCTGAAGAAAAGAAGACGTAATTACAAGGAAGAGTTAAGGTCATAATTCTTTCATTGGTCAAAAGTGCAGAAGAATTATTAAAGGACTGTGAATGATAGCTCCTTCACTTCTTCTTTATATTCTGTTATTCTTTTGCTAGTCATATAACGAATTAGCATTGCTTTCACTAGAGTTAAAGGAGAGACCATATACTGCTTTGTTGAAATATCTTGTTTTACAAAGTGTAAAGAGGAGCAAATTAAGAATATGATACATGCATTTCTCTTCTTATTATTAAGTGATTAATGGGTCTTATATATATATATACATATATTATATTTTATTATTAGAAATTTCAGTGGATGATATAAAAGGTTAGTTTTTTCATATACATATAGTCTTCGTTTCTTTTTTTTTTCTTTTTTTGTGTCCTTTTGTCTATTGTTATTATCTTTCATGTATTTATTGTTGAGTGCTTTAGGGGCAGGGTATGAAACTTTTTGTGAAGATAAGAATACTCTTTATCACTTTAATAGTTTTTAATGATATATAATATTATGGTCTTGTTGTTTTTCGCCCGAGGCATTCCTATTGTTGTGTTTTAGATTTTTGTTTGGCTTGATTCTTGGATGTGTACTCATGTCCTTGGTTTTTCGATTGGAAAAGGGGCTTTTCTTTTGTATTAAGGCAGTTTCGCTGAAGTTGGGATCTTGGGCTAGTGAGTTTCTATTTTTTCTCTGTACAGCTAGCACAGGTCTTTAGGTAGAGAGCTTCCTTTTGTTTCGTCAGCTCAATTTAGACAAGGAAACTGCAATTGCACCTTGTGAAGCAGCCTACTTTTGTAATTGTATATATTCTTCTTCTTGCACTAAGCTAGATGTTTCATGCCGATAAAAGTCTTTAACAAACAGTTAGAGACTTTGGATGGCATGGTGACTTAGTATTAATAAAATCACCTTTTAAAAAATAAAAAATATCATACCATAAAGGTCTTGCTCATGCCTACAAGATATTTATACAAGTTCTTGTTTTTTCTTTGGCAAGATGCTTCAAACAAGTTTCATTAATTAGCGAAGTTTGAAAATTCTTTGCAAAATACAATAGCTAGCCCAAGATTGCTGATAAAGTTACAGCAGCTTTTCATTCCTAAATTTGGCCATAATACTGAAAACGATGAAGCACCATGTAGTAATGCTAACATGAGATGAAACAATATTTTCCTTCAAGTATGCAGCAAACAATATACATGCACTTTCCTTCAAGTGATAATAGTTTCCTTGATGGACTTCTACGCTTCAACTAGCAAAGCAAATACAGAACTAATTTTCTTAATCACTCTGCTGCTCTTCCATTCATTCCTTCATTGCTGGATTTTCATCGTCGCTTTGCAGCTCTTCTGTTGATTCATCTGTCAGCAATTCACTCTCAGCCTCGACAGAGGTGTTCTCAAAGTCTAATACCAAATTTGAGGATGGCTCTTCTGCTGGTGCTATTTCTTCCACCTGATAAAGCATGAATTTGCTGTTAGACTTGATTAATTTCATTGTTGTACTTTTCTAAGAAAAGAAATTACAAAGTTTAGAGTCGACTCATCTAAAGAATATGTCCATTAAAAAACTAAAATGTATGGTTGTCCAGAGATTACATGCATGTAGTTATGTGATGCTTATAATGCAGACAAATTATGTATAGGAGACCATGGACTAAACATACCATATTGTGCAGCACGCATTCGATGTGAGCGACAAATAATCCTTGACATTCTTCACAAAAGTAAACGTGATCTTTTGGATGTCTTTCTTCTTCACAAACATCACAAAAATATTTTCCTAAATCATCTTCTATAAAACAATCTTTAAGGGTGAAAGGGTGGATATGACATTTAGATTTAATGAAATGGGGGATAGAGACACATTCCAAATGAAAATTGAAGTCACAATGCACACAGCGATAGAAAGGCATACCACTAAAAGGTTTATTGCATTTATTACATTTGAAATGAATACCTCCTTTAGAGAATTTTTTGAATATACTGGTGCAGAGTTTTTGGAAATGTGTTCCAAAATAGAAAAGAGGATACTGGTGAGACTTGGATTCTACGGCTCGCGACAGGGAATTGGCACACGAAAGATGGAGGTTGATGTCTTCACATTGCCTACAATTATAGGCGATGTCAAATATATAGAATGAAGCACGACAGGCAAGACAGCATATGGTAGGGTCTGGCATTAAAATTGGGTGTAGGGGGTGTTCCGGATGAAATGGGAGTGCCATCTCCCATGGAAATCCAAGACAAGATTCATGAAGACTATAAAGGCAACGAAAGCATGTATAACTTATACCTAAAAGTGGTAGGCAGCAAAGGCTGCACCAACCGCTTTTATGGCCTTGGCTAAAATTGATGAAGGAAAGCTCGTGATCTTGTTGGAAAGGGCACAACTTTGACTCTCTGGCCATCTCTTTTAGCCATTGAACCTCGTTTTTAGGCTCTGTTAAAGTAAAACATTTCAAATCAAGCGTGAAACCGCACAAGTAGCAGACGTAGCCAAACTCAGCCGATATGTCTCTGCATTCACCACAATAAAATATCTCACCATCATAGAGATGGAGAGGATGCTGAGGGTGAAGAGGATGCAACACTTCATAGGACAATTTGGCGCAGCCATTGTGTAAGTAGTATTCACAACTTTCACAGCCATAAGCTTGGCGATAAATTTCCAAATTGCAAGCCTTGCAGAGAACATGAACATCTTCATTCTTTTCAATTACCTCATAGTAGCTTAGGGAATGTAGATGAGTAAAATGTTCAATTTGCCTCTGAGAAGAAGAAGAAAGGACAGAGTGAACATAATTTTTTTTTATTTTCACTACTGCTGTGTACCAACCTTGTTATTAAGTATTCATAAATGACAGGAATAATTAATAAAAATAAGAGAAATACAACAAAAAAAGGAAGACTATTAAAATTTTATGAGTTGCAATGATGAACATGTGTTATTTTATAATAAGGAAACAAAATTAAGGAAATTTAGGAATAAGGGAGTGGCCTTTGCCACCTGATAAAGAATTTTGTGATCTTCGTTTTTAGTGCTCCCAGTGATTTGATCTGTTAGTTCTTTCACATACCTCAAGATCTTGAGTTTGAGATTCT